AAAGCGACGCTCGTAAAGTCCTGAACGAGGCTCCTTCCCTGCCAAGAGCGCAATCCGACTTTCGACCCCATTCAAGATGTCGCACCAACCCATGAGCATGGAGGCCATGCTCGACGAGGAGAGAAGAGATGTTCTGGCCTTGCTCGAGGGTACCGCTGCAAGATCCAACTGGAACACGGGCTCGCCCGTCTCTGCACGCTCGCCATCGCCCTACACAACGCCTCGCTCGCCCGTACGAAGTATGCTGGATATCGGCGCCGATGGAGGTTCCAAGAGCCCACGACTCGGAAACGCCGTACCGGTGCGCAGCATGTTGGATATCAGCGGCCCTCCGGCTCCCGTTCGGAGCATGCTCGATATCAACACCTCGGCTCCAAAGCAGGCTGCCAGTGCCGGCCCCAGTTCTCCAGTCGAATCTCGTGCACCTCACCCGAGGACCTTTTCCGACTCACACTCCCAGAAGCCCAGCTTTGGCCCGCGCGCCCCAATCAATCGAATGGATCCGACACTGGACTACCAATTCTCTGATATTTCTACCAACAATATCGGAACTGCTATGCCGAAGCGCAACACACAGGGAAAGGCGCTGGGCGTGAAGAAGCCGGGCGGCGGTGCCATGGTCGACGTCATGCGCGGCAACGAAATCCCCGGCATTATCCTTCCCGGCGACAGAGCCCGCCACGGCTCTATTGCTAGCAATCCCGTCATGGGTGGGAGAAGCTCTAGCAGAGGTCAGGGCAGCAAATCCAAGTCTCCTCATGGCAGACTGAGCATGCGCTCCCGCTCGCCCAATGTCAGTGGTCGGCTCCAGCAGATCCCTGGAACTGCCATTCTTGATGACGGCCGGGTGGTGGACATCTCAACCGCCTACCGCAAGCTGTCGGATGCCAATTTGGCATTCTCAGGCGGAGGCCTGTCTGGGCTGGCCGGACGCAAAAAGTCAAGCGCAGACGATGCCGGACTTGGACGTCTTACCAAGGACTACCTCAGCCCTGATGGAGAGGAGCTGGAAGACAGCAGCGACGATGACGCGCACAGTTCTTCTGATGAAGAGAACGAGAGAGGACGTAAGATGTCGCCTCGAGATGAAGAGAGCAATGCAAAGTCCGGCAGCTCAGCCGACAAAGGTGACCGCAAGACGCTCAGTTTACTTGCCGCGGCTGAGGAAGAGCGTAAGTAACCCATGTTCGTGGTAAATTCAGGTGCTAACAAATTTGCAGGCCTGGCAGTCAGTTCCAAGCAACCTCAATACAAATACAAGTCATTGTTAGACGAACCTTCCATCACACTCACCAAGCCAGGCGGCGAGAAGTCAAAATCCAAAGCAGGCATCCGCCCGACCACGGCGTTCGACAACGAGCCAGGCTCGGGAATGGCGTCCGCTGTGAACTCGGACGATGAGGAGGAGCTCAACGACATCAAGCGCGCGCAGAGACTTGCCTTCTCACGTACAGAAACCCTCAACAACCCCGAGTTTTCACGAACTCTACGCATCATCATGCGCGGCGAGTTTGATCAAATCCAGAAGTCGGCCGAAGAGGAGCATCATAGGTTGAGAAAATACCTGGTGGCAACCGATCTCAGCGAGGAGTCGACACACGCCCTGGAATGGACCATCGGCACCGTTCTGCGAGACGGCGATACTCTCATCTGTATCTACTGCGTCGATGAAGAGACTGGTATCTACTCGACCGAGGGAATAATGGTCCCCGACGAGCGTGCCGCGCATCAGGAACAAGCAGCTGCTATCAACGCCATGTCCGGCGCCAAGTCACCGCCGCCAAACATGACCAGCGCCCCGCCTTTCCCTCACCTTCCGCGAGCCTCGGCCTTGAACAATAGCGACTCTTCTTCGCCGGCACCGTCCAGTAGGGAGCGCGGCCGCGCTGAGGAGGAACGTCGTCGTGCGGTTAACGACATTCAGGAGAGGGTTGAGCGGCTGTTGCGAAGGACTCGACTTCAAGTGCGAGTGATTGTCGAGGTCATTCACTGCAAGAATCCAAAACATCTCATTACCGAAGTGATTGATATTGTCAGCCCTACGTTGGTAATCCTGGGAAGCAGAGGCCGTAGCGCTCTCAAGGGGTTAGCTATCCACCCCATTCAACTCCACTGTTTAAAAACCTGCTAACTATTGAATAGTGTGATTCTTGGCTCGTTCTCCAACTATCTTGTCACCAAGAGCTCGGTGCCTGTCATGGTAGCGCGAAAGCGCCTTCGCAACAAGAGCAAGTACAAGAGAGGCCCTCTCAAGCAGGTCAACGACCTGAACAACCCGGGAACCAAGAGCCTCGCCAACGCCAAGGTCGACTAGAAGGATCCCGCGCCGAGGCGTAGGCTGTCAGGACTGTGGAATCGCTTCAACGCGAGGCGAGCGTCGTGGGCTGAGGAGAGGGAGGAGGTAGAGCCAACGGAGCAGGTGGAGCAGGCGGATCGGCGCAAGAGCGCTTGATGAGCAACACAATTTCCTTTTCATCATGTTCGTACAAGCCTTCCATTTTGGACAGGCCTGAGACACATATCCCGGGCACTTTGTGGGAGAAAGGCTTGCCGATTGGGGATGGGACGAGGAGAGCAAACGTGATTCAGGCTAGATACGAACCACGCGAGGCGTCTCACTTGTTTCTTATTTCCCTAGGGGATTTGACGATTAATCATGTCATAAAAAGCGGTCTAGCAGCAGACACAACAACCAACAGGGTTGAATTCATACTCCATTCTACAATTTCAATTCCATTCATGGTCTATGGTTCAGTCCTATCAAGAGACGTCGCGATAGAACGCGAACAAGTCGGTGGCGTTCAGCAATGAGAACCCCGGTGATATCCGGGCCGACGTGATTGTGCATGGACGACGGTGGATAAATGCAAGAAAGGGAGCAGATGAATTATGCCAGTCCGAAATACCTTTTCCGACACGGGTAAACGAACGTTCGTCATGGTAAAGAAGGAGTCACTCTTGAGTAGATTAGAGTCGTCGTTGTCGTCTGTAAGAGGGGGGGGGGGGGGGGGGTCCCGCCCGGCGACGGTTGATTCGGTGACGGGACTGAGAGAGTGGAGCACTGGTGCGGGGTGATAAGATAGTGAAAGTGGCTGATTGGGGCCAACTCAGTTGCGTTTTTTCTGGGTCCTCTTGTTCAACTGGGCCAGTGCCGTGTAAACCTGAGATTGCCTGCCCGGCCTCGATGGTACGTACGCAATTGTGCAATTGTACCCTAGAGGAACGGGGGGTTACCGGTAGGTTGAGTGTGGGTTTTCGTTTGAGGTTCGTTCTGATAGAGCGTAGGCTAGCAATGCGAGAAGCCTACTGTTCTCTGTGGTCACTGGTGTACTGCGTAGCTTCGCTCTGGGTAGGGGTTTTCGTGCCTTGATCCATCATGATATGGCTGTGTACATCTTATGTGTGGACATACGCCGATTGGTACCTCTCAACTTCACGACTTCATACAATACCTACCTAGTGTGCCAGTTCTTAGGCTGGCCCCTCCCTCCCCTAGAGACGCGAGTCTTGGGTTCCCTTGCCCACACTACCCGCGTCTTGTTGGCGTCGCCGTCGAATCGGATGCTCCCGAGGCCTTGTCGGTGAGTCACTTTGATTGGATCGCGCAACTCATTTGGGAACGTCAAGAGACGGGACTTGGGAGAGGTTTGTTTGTTTACGTTCCAAAGTGGAAAGACAGCCTGAAAGTCAGTGGGAAAAGCAGGACCCCGCCTTCCCATTCTCGTGCTTGACATTGGGTGACGGGGTCCCGTGACCAGGGATGCAACCACTTAAACGTCCGAGGGGCAGACACGCTTGTTTCCTAAAACACGAACGACGCGGGTTGAGCTGGGGGGCGCATGGGTGCTTTGGGGACAGGGGGAGAGGTCAGAAAGGGAGATACGGTTTAGGAAGAGGAGGAGGATGGCGTTGAGATGTGTTTCCGGCTGCTCATTAACTGTACCTTATTGCGCTACGGCTCTTGTGCAAGTGGAAGGACGGCAAACTGCGAGGGCACGGGAGAGCGCAGAGCGAACAGAGCAGGAGGGTACGTACTCGCGCAGGTCAATGTTCGGTGTAGGGGCCCCTCTCCAGCCCCTCCCACCCAATCCAGGGCCTGAAATCCGGCCGCTCCCTTGACAGGAATCGATCTGTGATTGGACGGCGGCCTCGAACCTGGCAAGTGGGGACTTGAGCTCCCCAACCTCTCGATTTCGACTCGTTCGAAAGACGACGCAAGGTGGTTCGGGGTGGGCATTGGGGGGTCCAGGAAGGTGCTGCTGGGGTTCCTGCTGCATTAGAAAAGATGAAGAGAGGAACGGGAAGGCACCGTAACTCCCTCCGCTCCCCTCTCATTCCCCTTCCCTCTCGAGGAATTGGATGCTGCTGCTGTTGCTGCTTGAGCTTCTCCATCTACTTGCTGCATCTCTCCCGCTTCTTCTTACCTTGTAACAACCCTCCACTGCGGCCACTCTCAATCAGGTCACCTGCTACTTCTTTCTACCCACTTTCCGCCCAACCCTGACCTATCCCATCTTGTCCTGTCTCTTGTGTCCTGTTTAAGAAGACAGAGAGAGAGAGAGAGAGATACCGGTAGAGACAGGCGATCCTGCGAGGCGCTTGGCCTGTCACCGTTACCTTACCTACCTTACCTTACCTTAGATCCATACTCAAATTCAACCTTTCTTCATCCATACTCTTACCTCTCTACTCTTATCGCACCCGCGCATATCATTCCCGATCGAGTTCAGTTTCACATTGGGCTGGCCTACCTTATAACTTACTTGCCCTGATCGGTTACATCAATCCGAGGCACTTCTTACATTCCCCTTGCTCTCAACTCTTTGCCTTATACATCCCACTTCCCCCCCTCCTGCATTGCGCTCCCGCCATACGTCAAGTGAGCCAACAAGGTACTTCTCTGCGCCGTACTAGCCGTCGACCTGCAGAAGAAGTCCGTCTCTGTCGCAACACCGAGGCGACCGCGGTGAAGGGTGTGCGCCCAACCTATTCTGACCCTCATGCTTTCCATGCCGTCGCTGGTCACCGTCAACAACAACGTTTCCCTGCTGAGCATTACAATCGCTCCAAGCACATACGTAGCAACGCTGACCTTGTCCTTTGTCTTCGTCTACCTATACATCGTTCAGATCTCGTGGAAACCGACACTGCTACCAAACGTCAGCTATTTTAAGCGCACAAGTCGAACCACCAAAACCGCAGAAGCCGCAGTCGAGGCGCCTTCCCTCCCACCACCACCCACTTACAAGGCCTTACCCGCACCACCCGCCCCCGAGGCCAGCGGCGCACTCGTCCGTCGCAGCAACCGCCACTCTTCCCAACATTACCAGCACGAATATGATGATGGCTACGAAACATTCGACGACGTTCGATCCTCTCGATCATTTAGACGCCTCCTTGGGCGACTTCGAGCCGACGACCCCGCCACCGGGCAGGAGGGGTCCCCAGGGCGTGAACTTGTTCGGGCACCCGTCGCATCACTCGAGCTTCCGGTCAGACGACGCGGAGAGCGACCTGGGCCCGGACCCCGAAAACTCAGTCTCCGTCGGTGGTTACAGTCCTCCGGCTTGGCGCCGCCTCGGAAACGGGAGTCGCGACAGCGGCTTCTGGCGGCGGAGTGATGACCTGCTAGGCGCATTCTCTCCCCAGCTCCACGGACACCACCAAGGCTTTGGCGGATTCAAGTCGAAAGAGTCAAGCCCCGAGTACGATAGCGATGGCGACGAGGGCGAGTCGGTGCTGCGCAGAGCTATGCGCACAAGGTTGCCGACGGGGAGCATGAGCCCCGATAAGGCCCGGTCGCCCAGCCCCGAGCCCAAGATGGAGGATAGGACGATCAAGTTGGAGGATATTCCGTGGAAAGAAGCAAGCCCTTCAGAGGGGACATTGAATCAAGACAATTGTATGGCCCCGTACCTGAAGCCCATTCCTCTTCATCATGTGTGTACGACTGCTTTGGGAGGGTATCAGGCTGACCTCGCCGATAGATATCAGGTTCGCGTTGCGCGCAGAAGTACAGCAGCGTACAGAACCTATCGAAGCCCTAGTTCATTTCTTCCGCTCAAAATGGCGATTCTTGACTCACTCGTGGTCTTCCACGATCCTGTCCATCCTCGTCGCCGTGCTCGCCATAACGGCGACACATAACCTCTTCCAGCCCGCTGCGCAACAGCCGGTGCCCGACCTCGTCAAGGTCGCAGGTATCGCGCGGTCTTTTGAACCGCTCATTTACTTTTCCGAGAATGGCGCATCCCAGGTCGGCGACCTGCAAGCGACCGGCGTCGCTGTCTGGGACCTCGGCGAGAGCGTGCGCTCCAGCAACATGACTTCTGCGCCTATCATTGTCAAGGAGCTGGATGATCTCAGTGAGAGCTTAAAGACTCTGGCTGTTGAGCTGACCAAATTCTTTGCGAACGTTGATGGCGACATTGATGGGTAAGTTCCACCATGTGTTCTCACTCATGAAGCATTGCATTCTAAAATCGACTACAGTATTCTTATAGTCATGGACTGGGCGCGCAGAGAACTCTCTCAAGTCCAACACCTCCCCTCATCGCCCTTCACTGCCGCCTTTGACAACATCCACAACCTCCTCTCTGAAGCAGGCGTTCTCGAAGACGGCTTCGGTAGCCCGACTCGCCTTGGATCTCTATCGAGATACATATTTGGCATGTCCAACCCGCAGCGGACGCGCCTCACTCTTCAGCGCACATTCAACGAGTTCCTCACGGTCCTCGAGGATGCCATCAACTCGGAGCTCCAGCATTCCCTTGCCCTGTTTGCGCTCTTCGAGGCCATCGACCACCAATTCCTCAATCTCGCGCGCACAGTTGTCCGTGAGGCATCCGCGCAGGACGACCTGCACGCAGACTCGTTGTCGTCACTCTGGACGCGCATCTTAGGCGCCAACGCCGCCGAAGTGGCCAAATACGAGCGCAACCGCCTTCTGCTACAGAACGTGAGGGAGAAGACAGTACGGAACAAGAGCATCCTAGTCGAGCACAACGGCAAGCTCATGGCTCTCAAAGCCAATCTCGAAAACCTGCGACGCAAGCTAGTCAGCCCGCTCGTTAGGTCTGTCAACTCGAGCACCCTGACGCTCGAGGACCAGATCCGCGGGCTGGAGGACGTCGGCGGCTACCTCGAGGGTGTCCGGACGCGGCAGAAGGGCAAGTTGATGGAGATGCTGTACGGGAGCGTCGGCAATAGTCGGCGGCTCATTGAGGAGCGGACGTATGGCCGTACAGCATGAGTTGACGCAACTGGGATTTAGAGAAAAATCATTTGGGTCCTGGATTCATCGTCTCCTTGTTGGACATTTGCCCTTGTACACTGCATCATGGCGTATACGGACACTTAGAGGAAACCCCACCCGGACGGCGTTTCTTGCTGAACTGGGGATAGACTTTTGCCATCGAAGCGAGTGGGGGAGACAAACGACGTCCCTCGCGCATTTTCACATTGGAGTTGAGGATGGAGGAATATGGGGAATCGTCTACTGCATGGGTACTTATTCCCGGAGCACGTACATTTGGGGTTCATAAGCTGACAGATGTCAGTTGGCGTACAGTGGCGACTCGCCTTCTCAAAGTATGGGGGCAGCATGTGCTTCACAACCGCCTTGCACGGAAGACACGGAGGGAGGAACTTTTTTCGGTGATGGACATGGATTATGGGCAAGGGCGTTTTCGGGAGTTAGTAACCTGTAGGACCAACCGCATGTAAAGACTCTGGGAAAGGGCGTCTTTGGGATTTGAAGGTTTCGCTGAAGTGTAGGTAGCGGAAATGCGAATGAACGCGTATACTTCATCAAGATATTTGTGCGTAGATCATGTCCTATTGTGTAATTTGGGAGGAAGCTCATGACATAAAAGGCGGAGGTATCGGTCGTATGTTTAAGTCGACAACAGGAGCAGTCACATAGTCTGTCATGATGATGTACTTTCTTGGTATCAGGGGTGTCAGCTATGTTTACTCCTTCATCTTGAGTATGCTTGTACATCTCAAGACTTGTAAAGTCCGACCTGTCCAACTGTCGTATCGGGTCGGCTTTGGTAGTGGATTATTGTATAGTGAATACTATAGCAGACAGTGCCGATGAGTATAAGCAGCAGGCTTCAGATGTTGTCTTGTGTCTTCCATGAGCGAGATTTACCTTCCTAGGTAGAAGGTCAAGATCCTCGCTGCCGCTGCCAGCTCCCGCTTGCCGCAATGGTCGCGAAGAAGCACACGGCCCAGTCCTACATGACCTTCGTTTCCAACTCCTCCAGGTTGACGAAGGGATTATTCGTTGTGCCTGGGTGGGTTTTTCACACAGAGTAGCTAGCTGGCTAGGCGCGTGTGAGGTGTGTGCTTAAGCCAGGGGATCTGTAGATGACGATGACTAGTAGAGTATATATTTCCTGGCTGCGCCTCTCTTACTAGGTCTGACGACCAGATCCGTAGTTTTTTCGCGTCCTTTGTTGATGAATATCATCTCAGGGCCCGGGTTAGTTTCGTTGTAGGGAAATGGGATGCTCGTTTATTGAAAATGCTGTCGCTGATCTGCGGTTTGTAGTATTAGGTCAATGGACTCGATTCTGTTCATGTGTCTGTTTTATTGTTCTCGTATTGCGGGTTGAATACGGCGAGGGAAAGGGAAGGGATTTTAGAACATAGATTGCCGTCCTTGAGGGCTCTGGGAGATGCTGAAATTTGAGAGCTGCTTGCAGTGTGTGTCTGCCGAGCATTCGCGATATGTCGCAGAAACATCATGTGGCAACCGATTTTAGAAGCTGTAGTGGATGTACACATCAAGAAACCACACCCGTTTCAGTCGTTTTTTTAAACGCCCATGGGGTTACCACCTCCGTCTGTTCGCTACCTTTCTAGGTAGTTGGATGTTCTATCCTCTTTGTAGCTTGCGGATTTGGAAATCCTGCGAGTGAACCCCAAGTCTTTCTCTCTACTTGTTTACGAGCCATGTCGTGAAAAACTATTACATTCTAGCTGATAGTTGGATCATAAGGTGTATAAGCTGTCAGTATTGGGGGATAGTGAAGGAAGCCGCTGGAAACATTTGTTCGTACATGGTCTAAAGGATATCGTGGAAACACAGTAAGAAACCCCCCCCCCCCCTTTATCATGTAATCCCAGCATTGCAGCCCATCTATAACCAAACTCCCCCATTCCCAATCCCCTCAAAAGCCCTCAATCTGCGTCCCGATCCCCTTCTCCTTGGCAAGCTGAATCATATGCATCCCAACCGACAAATCCATGAGCCCCAGCCCGACACTCTTATAAATCACCGTCCCGTCCTTGAGCCACCTCACCAGCGCGTCCTCCTTCTTGCGCTTGTCTGCCGACCTCTGGCTCGAGCTGCGGCGCAGCATGCTCGGCCCTTTGCTGCTTCCACTACCGCTGCTGCCAGACGTCTTTGTCGAGTCTTTGCTGATGGACGACCGTGGCTCCGATAAAGACGCGCCGTCGGATCCCGAGAAGGCGGACTTGATGGACGGCGTGCCGGAAAAGTCGAGCTTTTCGAGCTCCGAGGCCGCGATGCTCGCTGCGTCGCTGTCGGCTGACGCGGAGGCTGCGTCTTCTTCGTCTTGCATCCGGCGGAGCATAATTAGTTCTCCGAGTCTGTGTAAACAATCAGCTTCCTAGTTCCATAAAACCTCGAGTCCAAAGGGCAAGTGAACTTACTCAACAAGTTGCGTAGGCTGTAAACCGGCCGAGATAATCTCCCCAGCCTCCTTCAACGCTCCGTCCAGCGTGTCCACGACAATCACCCCGCCCTCAGGCGCATGCTTGTGAAAATGCCAATGCGGCTTCTCGTGCTTGGTAGCCTGCAACAGCAACCCCTCAGGCAGCTCCCTCATCGCGGGCGTGTAACTCCCAATCGCCGCAATCAGCCTTCCCTTCCTCCGTCCCTCGTGGCTCGTCAGCACCTCGGCCTCAAACAACTCCTCCGTCGACGGCGTACAGCAGTACACCACATCCGCATCGCGAATCTGCTCCCTCAACAACCTCTTGAACTCGCCGTACCCGGGGGTCAAAATCCCAAACGTCGTCTCGGACCAGCCTTCGCGCTCCTTGATGTGCGGCGGCACGCGGTAGAACTGCTTCATGAAGTCGCGGGCGTCGTCGGAGAAGCGGCGGTTGATGACGTTGACGTGTTTGATGGTCGTGCCGCGGACCAAGAGGGCGAGGCGGACGTGCCAGTAGGCTTGGAGGCCTGTGCCAAAGACGGTGATTGTCTTCACGGTGGTGCGGCGGGCGAGGAGGCAGGTTGAGGAGAGGGCGGTGCGGAAGGCGGTTAGGGTCTTTGCGTGGAGGAAGCCGATGGGTTCGCCGGTGGGGGAGAGGAGGGTTACGGCGCCTGTGGGTTGGATGGAGGGTTTTGAGGGGTCTTGGGATGCTTTGCTGGAGCTGAGGGTTACGACTATAGGGAGTTTGTTAGTGATTTGAGAATTGTGAGCGGATGATGGAGGGCGGGGTGGGGAAGGTTGAGAGGATTACCTTTGCAACCCATGCCTTGGGGACCTACGGAGGGCATGTACAATGTCGTCGCGCCTGTCTTGAGGTTCTCTGTTGAGACGCGCTCCGGTTGGTGATATGTGCCATCCTCAATGTTGTGCGTGTTGGTCGAGTACTCGTGGAGAGCGGTCGAGATGACCTTTCTGAATCCGTCAAACTCGTCGGCCGTCAGATCGGCCAGGATCTTTTTGATCTGGTCGTCTGTGAGAACCGTCAAGACCATGGCGATGCTGTGAGATGTATATGAAAGGAATCTTGTTGTTCAGGCTTATTGTAGGCTGTTTGTAGTGAAATTTCTAGTCTTGCCCCTCATCAACTCTCGATGAGATGAGATGTTACTTGTGGGAGGTAATTTGAACTTGTTCGAAGCGGGGTTCTTTATTCGTGTACTTCGTACACACTTTTGGCTGACTCGGGCTTATGGGAGCTAACGCCGTGCTTATATCGGGATCTGGCAAAAACCCCGGGGGACGGGCTTATAAACAGAAAGATTGTCGATTTCTCATCTACATTTTCCACCGGCTCATCCGCGCCAAGAATCTAGCATGGCGGCGCCGTTGGCGTGCCCCTCGATGTGTGAATTCTGTAGTATGATGTAATTGTCGATACTAGGTCTAGGCTCGTCTATGTGGTGCTTACTGACACAAGCCGTTCATCTCCACATGTGCGCCTCCGTGGGCTGTGGGCACACGTTTCTCCGTGCTGCTCGCTCTCGTAACTTTCTGATGTATCATGTTCCCAATGGAGCTATCCTTGAGTGAAAAGAACGGAAAAAGTAAAAGGCTTGGCAACAGATTATACGAGGGAATTGGGGCGGGTTGAGCCATCAAATCTTGGCTTGGCACCCGAAAGCGAAGCGGGCTTAGCGGGTTGGCTGGGCCGGCGTTCCGGCGTTCTAGGGTTACGGTGCACCGGGCTTTCGGCCTCGAATAGAGGGTTAGGCTTCACCGGCCCCGGGTCCGATACGGACCCTGTCGACTCCGGATGTGCATGAAATGAGCCGGAGGTGTCAATGCCATGAGGTCTTGTTTTGACGGGAGGCGGTGGCGGATACGGCCCTTCGGCAGTCTACAAAGATCGGCAAAGAAACAAATCCCCTCCCAAGTTCGTCCCAAGGGCTGACTGGCTGCCTGATGTCTGCCTGCTTAGCTTGAAATGTGATGTCAGAGGATTATACCCAAGCGGGCAGGAATGTCAGACACGTAGATGCAAATAAGAACGCACATCCAAGAACAGAAATAATCTGGCAGGAACAACATTGTGTTCAAAACACCATCTACAGGGTAACAATCAAAATGTCACGGTGCTCTTTCGTCTTCGTCACGGCCAAAAACGCAGACATCAAACTCATCAACCGTTTCCTCCTCACCATCCGGGACTGGGAGTACGGCGAAGATGACACCTGGGACTGCTTCACCCTCGTCACCTCGAAGACGGAACCCCTCCCGCTAGACGCAGAATCCACAAAGCCACCACTGCAAGATTTGCCTCTAAATGAATGGGAAGGCAGCTCCCTCGAAGAAGTCGAAGCCGCGGTTCTCGCAAGGGGCAAAGAGGAGGACTCGGCGTATGGCAAGCAGCAAGGGCCCAACAACTTAAGCCTCTTCCTCGTGCTCGACGACAAGAGCGTCGAGGACCGGACCGTGATCCTGTGCCAGCGGGCCATTGACTGGGACGCGGAGCCGCTGACGTACCCGGAAGGGTTCAACAAGTTCCGGACGCCGTGGACATCGG